ATGATCATGATCATTATTATCATTATTATTATTATTTCACTGGGCTCTTCACAAACCACCTTTTGTCATTAATTATGTAACCTTGATAATGGCGCAAGATACACCGAAACGTCGGTTTGTATTTCTTGTCTCAATAATAGCTAATAATGATAATAATAATGATAATAATAATAATAATAATAATAAAATCTTCTCAGAAAACCTATTTACAAATCTTCACAGATTCCACTATCGTAGACTAAAATTTTGATGAAAATAAAAATATCACGAGATCCTAAAATACTAATTCACAAGTTCATGCCATCATCGACTTTCTAAAATTGGACAGACGTCCGGTTACTTAATTTACTTCAAGTTTTATCCTAAATTAATTAACAATTATTCCACGAGCGCGCGTTGGACACGAGATGGTAGATAGCCAATGAGACCGTAGTGCCGAGCGGACTATAATCATCTCATATCCAACAAGCACGGGTGCAATAATTGTTTTATCAAAATCGTCCCCAAAATATAGCAAACTAAACTAAAATAAAAATATACGCCCCCAAAAATCGCGCGTACGCCTACCATATTTGTAGAGCACGGTATAATGGCCCACAACCCCTGATGGCTAAGCCAATGAAAACTCGCAAACTATATTATCCAACGATCCAGTTTTTAATAATGAATAGTAGTGAATCAACTGGTTTAACTCTGGGTGTATGGTTGTTAGAGTTAGCTATAGTCACTCTTGGAACAACATTTCTTCTTGTCCATGTGCTATTACTAAAATAGCAGTTTCCAGTAAAATAATGAGCAAAGGGAAAGAGAAAATTTCAATTCCGTGGTCATTATCTTTTCTAAGAAGGATGACTGTGGAAATGTGGTGGTTATTTCACTTTTGTGATGAGTGTGAATGGAAATGTCATGATTATTTGGCCCTTGACGTAAAAAAAAAGAAAAAAAAAGAAAAAAGAAAAAAAGGCGAAATAAAATTTAACTACCATTTCATTTGCAGGTTAAAATGTTTTATTATCCTTTTATAAATACGTATATGAAACCGGAGTGCATGAAATAAGGTTTGGAAATACTTTTATCATTATTTTTATTTAAAAATGCTGCACATTATTATGTCAGCTCACCGCTGCAAGAAATCCGCAGAAGTTTTATAAATAGCGTAATTATAATAAACATACCTATCATTTGTTTAAAGCAGAAAGCGTTATAATGATTTCTTTTAAATTGGCCATTAAAAAGACAAAAGAAAAACAAAAGAAAACAAACCAAATTTTTTTTGATTACCGTTATGTCAAGTTCAAAATAAGATACGGCTTGCCAGGTGGAAGTTTATTTTAACCTTGAACCAAATTTAGCTCTCAGTATTTTTGTTATCTTTTATTTTTATTTTTAGCTTCAAACTGTTTAACAAAACAAGATTTTGGTGGGAACATTTTTTGAATTTATGCCAGATATTTACCTGTCTGAACAATTGTTATTGCAACAATTTTTCGTTATTTCAGACTAAACATCCTCTGAGCATTATATAGAACCGATTTACATTGACAATTAAAGTTACAATCTTTCATTTCATTATTTATTTTTATATTTATCACTGCGGTTGCACATAGCTCGAGCTCGAAATAGCGACATGGTCACTTGTCTTGCGTTCGCCGGTTTCTCTCTCCTATAAACTACCGCAAACCTCTTTACGTAGCTGGTGTTTTGTGATGTTATTGTTATATTAAGTGAACACCACTATAATAAAACTAAATTTAAATTATACGTTCTCTCTCGCTTATATTTCTTCCATTAGTCGTTTTTTGAATGATTTATGTGCTCACTGCCACCATTCCATGCCTGTGGCACTTCATAAATAAAACTTTGTAATATAAAATTAGTAAATGTGTTCCACACAGTTGGTATTTCTGCATCCTTAGATCAATGCTAAGAGCTGTATCTGCTGTTATTTAGATGCTACTCAACCCTTTAGCATTGCCAAATGCTATTAAATTACCGAAGGACCTTACAGTTCTACCTGACGGTGGAAACAGCATCCAAACCCTTGAAGGTGGTTTGCTTTGATTATGTATGTTAAAAGCACTTGCCGAAGCAAATATGAAAGAAACTTATGATATGTATAACTGTTCTTTGGAACCAGTCTACTGTAAATGTTTGAAGCACGTAGAATTGTAGCGAGCTTAGTCTCTAGCGACCTGATGACGTGTTTTGAGTCGTCTTGTTTTGCTTGTGAACATCAAAGGCGCTCTGAAGCTGCGCATATTTTTTCTTGTATTCCTCTTTTTCATTCCACACGTTCTTCAGTTTTCTTCTTTCATCTTCCAGCTGTCTTTTCAACGAGGTATTCTCATTCATCAGATCTTCGTGCTCGCGCTGTTTCCGAAGACGACAAGTCAGAGCATAGCTTCGGTTCTTCAAGTTACGTCGCCTCTTTCTTATCCTGGCGGCCTCGTCCCTCGGGAGGTCCCGAAGAAGTTTGTTAAGCTCCTGCACACGTAGACTTTGTATTTCTTCATCGCTTATTTCTTTCACATCTGGAGGATGATAAAAACTCTCGGTTTCAGATTCAGATGAAAAGTCATTGGCTTCGTTCGTTGCTTCACCGTCGAAGAGATCTTGGACATCGCGATCTTCGCCTACTAAACTGATGTTTTTCTCGAACAAATCGGCTCCTTCGGTCCATGGAGGTTCTGTAATACGTTGTCCTTCACCAGTAAGGTACAAATTAAACACGTCGTCAAAATTTCCCTCCATGATATTGCTGTGAGAAAAATGTTTAATGCTAATGTTGCAAATGACTCATGTTTTGCAGAGAAAATAGAATAACTCAGTCAGTTTAAGCGGGTATTTTCCCCAATTTTTTGCTTAGCGAATCACATTTGCCAGCGGGGAAAAAAGTTTCGCTTCAGTTGCTTAGGGTAACCCCCTCATAATTTAATTCTTAGAATTTACGAAGGGCTTTCCAAGAAGCTTGCAGCCACGAGGCGACGATGACATCTCTTCTCTTTGGCACATTTTCATTTAGTATTCTAACAATGGCCGTAGCTTGGACAACCTTGTAGAATTCATACAACAATCTCAATGGCACGAGGGTTTACTTAAACATCGATAAAGCAAAATACTTAAATCGAAAGTCTTCCTTTCTGTAATTTGTTTTAAATATTCTTGTTGATTGTCGTCGTCATTCATTATTTCTTTCTGTTTTGTTTTCGTCCCATGGTCAGGTGGCGTTGCTCCCGATATGATTGGTCAACGGTTATAGGTTTCTTACCATACCTTGTCACTGGCTTGACTTTCGCTCGACGAGAAGTGGAAATAAATAGTTTTTGAAGCAATTACGTGATGGATGAGGCAATGAAAAAAGCAATGCCTGGCCTTAACGTAACCTTCAACCCTATATATATAACCCTGCGCTGGACTATAGCTAACAACCCATCCAGGAAGAAGTAGAAGTACTTCTACTAGTGGTTTCACGGCTACGGAAATATACGGGATAAACTCCGGCCGGTGGCATGGCCGACGAATTTTGTTTCATATCAAACTCTGGCACAATTCCGCGGAGGTCGGAAACATTTTTGACCAATGACTGAGATATGCGTGACTATGGTGACGGGATAAACTTGTTTGTTTCGATTTGTTAAGAGTATATAGATTTGCATTTCAAATAATCTCATTGGCAGTTAAATACCTGGCTTGAGATAAAACTATATTAATAATAAAAAAATCAGATACGTAATAAAGAGAATAGTTACAAAAAGTAGAACAGCAGAGAATCATTTAGAGGCTCCTCATAGAAGGCAAATTTTCAGTCTACCTCTTGATGTGTTTACAATCAACATCAAGTTTCTTGTTGTCAAGTCAACAAGTTAATTGCTCGGGTCATGAGAATTGAGTACCACTGTGAATTGCCATGATATAGTTAACGTCAAAACAGTCCTTCTCAGTTAAACAATATGCTGAAATATATATTCTCAAGTTGGGGGAGTTTACCAGTTGGTCATTGGTTCAAGGGGTTAAATTTTGGCTCATTGGATTGTCATGAGAGTCAGTTTAATATGCGAAAGATGTCAAGTCAAGGAACTAGAAACTTAGTCGAGTTTCGAAATTGCAGCAACAACTGCATGTTAAATAACTTAATGATAGATAATCTGTCCTAAAATCATTTTATAACATAGTAAGTCATGAAAAGCTTCAAGGAAGACACATCTTAGTTCAGTTCTTGAGTTTAACACCTGCGGTCTGAACGGACTTAAACATACTGTGGATACTAGGTTGGGTTTTCACCTAAATTTTCCGCCTCCCCTCCCTTCCCCTCCCCACATTGACAATATTGTTGACAACGTTGAAACCGAATTCGCAAACATTTTCACCGCGAAAAGTAACCAGAATGCAGCAAGTAGACGTGTAATATCTTGATAAGCTAGAACATACTTTTTGCCAGCTTCCCAAACATCCGCAAGGGTATTGTGCTCTGCACTCTTGAAGTAATGCCTCATGTAAAGCTAAAAGTATTATGAACCAGTAATTTAGTTATACCAGTTTACTAG